GGTTGCCAACGCTCCTCGGGACACGAGGCGGGTGTCGCTAACACGAGAGGGCGCGAGAGTCTCTACAGCCGCGCTTCCTCCCCAGGGCGGGCGGCAGCCACGGCACCCCGCAAGAAAGGGGGTGCTCCTCCGGCAGGGTATGCCCGGCGCCCCCAGGGACAGGGTGACCTGGGTGCACCAAGCGGCAGCACAGAGCAGAAACTACAAGTCTCAAACCAAGTCCAAGCAGGAGGCAAACATGGTCGACGCTCATTTCAAAGGGCAGTCCTTGACCCGCCCACAGAGAGTTAGGAGTTGGGGAATGCTATTGTTGCTTATTTGAAACAAAAGTATTAATTTACACATAGGCCATGGCCTTCAGGGTACTACAGAGTTTGACCTGTGATGACAGCACCATGAAGGCCAGAAGAAACAAGGTGCTGTAAGGCCCCAAAACACTTCCAAATTAAGCATGCACGCACACCACAGCTTTCATATTTGTGTGGGTTTAGTCTATCCTAGAAACAGAAACATCTACAAACAAGATCTACACTTACCTGGGATCATTTCTGCTGAAATAAATAGCAGTATTTAAAAGAAAATTACAGAAAGGAAGTTTAAAGGCCAGCAGTTCGGAATAATTTTCTGAAAGCAGCACAAGGGCAGCAGAAAACACGAAACACTGGTCCAATCAGTCAAACTGGCAAACCAAAGCTTTATTTTTTGTTTAAAGTCTTTGCTACAGTACCTAGGACTGCGCCTCTATACATAATTAACAATCATTCTTGAAAGATCTGTATTTGGCACCAGTTTGTGTTTACCTCAAACACTTGTGGGGAGGATTAATTTCAAATCAAATTTGGTTTTTCAACAAAATAGGAGCTGCCATCATGAAGCCAATTAGCTGAGTTATTGGAGAAGCTTAAAAACAAAACAAAAAAACCAAAGTCCTTATCTAAACCAACACATTACAGAGAGCTCCAAAACAGAGATCAAACATTAAAAGGCTGATATAGGCTCAAAGTGGTTTATAAAACCTATAAAAAAAGACTACACCAGCAATTATGCCCTTTCAGTCCACACAGTTCAGAAATCAATGCAGGGAGCAACCCTCGCTAGCTGGAAATCTTGTCATGGGAGAACCACACGTATACCAACAGGAGTACCCAAAATCAAATGTTAAAACGTTCCAATTCCCAATCCACATAAAAGGATTCATAGGAAGATTAAATCAATCCATGAAATCATAATTGGTTGGGCAGTTCAAACTTCCCCCAGCAACCACTACATCACTCATACACACAGGCTCACATGTACACGGCTCAATCCCATTCAAATTCCTCATGGAATAAAAGGATCCCAGGCTCTATTGAGTCTTTCCCTATCATGCAAGAAATAAGTCTGGCTGTGCTTTAATCACCATCATATATTACTTCAGCCACAGAGTACCAGGCAGATTAAGTAGAAATGCACAGTTTTTAGCTCATCATCTCTGCAGAAGTGTTTGAGAGGCTCAGTTCCTGGAGAGTTCTGGGTGGGCAGACAGACAGTCTCTCTTCATGCAGACTCACTGGCCTCTACTGGTTTAATCATGTGGTCCGGTTTGTTGCCAGCAGCATAGTGATCCCACATCTGAAGATAAAGCCGCTCCAGGTCCGTTGTGTACTGTTTTGTGTTGAACAAAGGACTGGATATTCTCTGCTTCCAGACTTTGCCACGTATTTTTTTCAGGCTACAAAAAGAGTTAACGCAGTCATGAGAGGTTCCAAACAATTCATAGTACAACATGCTTACTTTTGAAATCTATTTCCAGCTAACCCAGAACTGCCAGTACAACTGTTTCAAAAATACCTGCTCCCCCACTTCCACCAAATTCATATTGCTGTTTCATCCCCAATACAAACCAGCATGACCACACTTCAACTCAGAAGAGCTGCAACATTAACCCATTAACTTGTTGCATTATCTGTACTGCGGTAACTTTTTACAGCGCAATTTTAACTTGCAGTAAGCGACAAACTGCTTAATCTTCAATTTAAAAAGAACAAAAGGTGAACTATATAGTACTTTTTACCAGGTAAGAGCCTGCACATGAGCAGTTTCTTCAGAACAGGTAGCATTGTTACTCAATTGGGAGCGCTGTTAAGTTTACTGTAAAAGCAGAAGCTGAGTTAACTGCAAGACAAGAAACCTCTAGACAAGAATTGCCTAGCTATTTTAAATACTAAAGATTAAAACTACTGATAAGTCTCAGCACTGTGCCCAAATACAACACTTTACACAGTACAAGTTTGCTTACTATTCCAGATCAGTTCCCAGTTTCACAGCAATATCTTCATATTCCTGTCTACTTTTTGCAATGAGCTCAAGACAACCCAGGCAAGTAAGCTGGGAGGCAGCAACTCGTGATGCAAGAGTCTCGCCTGTTAAAAAAAAAAAAAAAAATTGGTAACAGGAGTGAGCTTATCAAGTAATGTTGCAGACTAAGAGTTACTTTTCCTTCTGCCTCTACAACAGACAAAATGGTTTGTTGGGCTTTCTGTTTGTTATTAAAAAATTAGTAATATTCAAACCCATCTGTTCTACATAGGTTCCCTGCTGTGTTACCTGGCATAGTGACCATTGGAGTCCCAGCCCAGAGCACATCCATCCCAGTTGTGTGCCCATTGCAAAGTGGAGTGTCTAGACAAACATCAGCCAATTGCCCTCTCCTCACATGTTCTTCTTTGGGGGCAACAGGAGAAAAGATGATTCGGTTTTGGGAAAGACCCAGGTTTTGTGCATATTGCTGAATATTGGGTTCTCCTACAGCTGGGAAACGTAACAGCCACAGCACACTGTTCGGAACTCTTTTTAGGATCTGTATCAAGAAATAAAGCAGCAAATACAGAAAGTTCAGTCAGAAAAATCTCCTTTTCCAAACAAGAAATTACCACATACCAAAGTGAAGCAAAAGGCATAGTCATTCAATATTTTAATCTTCTGAGGTATAGAGCAGAAAAAAAATTTATCACTATCTCAAGTGGCATAACTAAGTTTGCATTTATAATCCCATTGAAAGAGACAGCAACTCTGAGCAACAGTTCATAGAGCAGCACTTAGAGAATAAATCTTGAAATATATGGTCTGGAAATTTATTTATAGGAATATAAAAAAAATTACCCCTCAAATAACTCTCAGCAATACACTATAAACTGGACCCTGACAGAGATGCTCAGTGCTCAGAGCTACCAACTGCCAAGGCCTGTTACGACTTAATTGTGCAGACTAGGGAAGACCACGCTTATTTCACAATAGAGTAGCAGCATACTTAAGCTGGCCAAGACCTAGTTTTTCACTGGCTAGAAGCGCAGAAGTGACTTGAAATCAATCTAAAAAAATTCTATATTCTATTAAGTCCTGCAACATGAGCATTGTAAGGATTCAAATAGCTCACGGTCAATGTTTTCCACAGAACAGTTACAGTTTTAACTTGCATGAGGTTTCTACTAACTTGAACAGAACAGCTGCATTCCAGAAACCTGACCTTAGGTTTCATATTAGATAGAGATACTCACATTAGCCCACATCTGTAAAGTGGAAGGATCAATCTTATACAGCTGATTAAAGTTACAGTATACAACAGCATCCTCTGGTAAGCCATACTGAGAACGTGTAGTAACAATTATAGTTCGGGGAACTTCTTCACCAGTTGCTGCTTTGTTGTTAATCTAAAGAAAAAAAAATAGCTATTGGAACACTGAAATTGCAGGAAACAAGACTGTGGAACGTCCTGAGACACGATGCTAACACATTGCAGAGTAAGTTACTGTAAGCATGTATTTGGTTTTATTATACTAAAACACAATTGGCTACTTGCCCATAAAAAGAATTCAACTGGTATGTGACACCCTTGTGGATGCCACAATGTTGCAACCACCAAGGCACAAAACATTAGGTATTTTCATGCTTTTGTGTATCTCCCTGAAATTCCAAGTAACCAGAATAATTTTTAAAAAAAAATCATACAAGGAGGCATTACACATGGACTCCTCCCCTCCTTAAGGTCACTTCATTTCCTTGAGACCAAAAATGAAATTAAGAATTCCAGGAAAAATAAAAATGTCTTTAGAAAGCAAAGGGGATTTTCTGTTTGGTTGTTTCTTTGAGGTTTGGGGGTTTTTGTTTGTTTTGGGGTTGTTGTGGGTTTTTTTAAGATAAAAGACAATAGGCACAGAACAGATAGTCAAGACTGAATATGCAGACTAATAAGTAACTGCTAGACTGTAAGGAACGAGATGACAAGAAAAGAATGCGAAATGCTGAAAATTAGAGTGGAAGTTATTAATGGACTTAAAAAAAGAACGGATCTTACAGCCTTCACAAAGAACAGGAATATACTAATAAAAACAGCAGAGGATGAAGTTGGGATAATCAGAATACGATGATGATTAGTAAAATAGATGTATGTTTTTTTTTTGTAATAATGACAGGCAATGGTGGGATCAAAGAGATAAAAACATCGGTACAGACAGGGCAAAAACAGTACTTAAGAGTATTTATATATATATATGTTTGGGTCTTTCTTTTTTTTTTTTTTTTTTTTTTTTTTTTTTTTACAGACACCAATATTAAAAGTTTAGCTCAGTGGCAGTGCAGCCAGCCAAAATAAGCATA